TTAAGATAAATAAGGAATGAATACGAACCCTTGATAAAAGTAGGTACATCTCCATTTCAGCAACTCTACGACCTGGAAAACAATAATTGTTATACCTTATAAATAAAACTAGCACCCCTTTATTTCCAAGTAATTTCTTTTAGTTTGTAGCTCTGTTTAAATAAAGAGCAAATTTGATATCAAAATTTCTACGTTACGTTCATTAGGGACTTTAAGATTTGTGCAACATCTACGACGGCGACGTCAACCGGAAGTGCAAATCATTTCTCTTTGGGGTCCTGTTCATTGGAGATTTTATTCAAAACATTGTCAGTAAAGTCAATTCGTCCACAGAGAAGACAGATTTTAAACGGACTCGAAATCCAAAATGCAGCAATTTACCCCTTCCGGTTGACGTCGCCATCGCAGATTTTGCGAATCTTAAAGTCCCTATTACCAGGTGAGCAATGAACGCGGCGGGCAAAGCCTTATTAGACAAAATGACCGACTCTTAGCATTTTTGGAACTTGATGGAACGAGGCAAACGTGGCTGTAAAAAGAAATCGTTTTTATTCTTCCTCTTCATATTTGTGCTTCTTGTAGGTATGTACGAAGTCAAAAGTAAACAGAAAGATGCACAAAAGTTGGATTGCAGTAGCCTGGGAAGGAGGGTCGGCGGCAAAACAGCTTAACGCGCTGCGATTGGCTGAAATAAAACTCACCGCTCAGCTGGTATATATGAATTATATCATAAGATGTGATCGTTATGTGAGCCTTATAATCGTAAACTATTGAAAGAAAAAGCAAGATAAACTTTAATTAAAAAGAAAGTTCTTAGAGAGTACTTACCCAAGCACATGCGAACACCATATCCAAAGGGAAGAGATGAAAAAGGATGGTAGTGTGGATGGGATTTGTCACCTCTCAGCCACCTCTCTGGTTTGTAGGACAGGGGATCATCAAACAGGTTAGCATCTCGACCCATCGCGTAAATAGGAATACGAACCATTACCTGCCACGGAAACAGATACATCTTTTATCTCGTGCATAGTTTTTACATTAACAATCAAGAGCGAAAAGAAATAGAAGCTGACAGAGATTGACAGAGGTTTTCATTACATGAAAGTAAAACTTGTTGAGCTCTATGTATGAAATCATTATGTAATACTAATATAATATAGTTCAGTGCCTGCAACAATTACACCCCCATCCCTCTTTATCTTTCTATTCTACTGCCAGTTACATCTTCAGTTATCTGTACAAATACACGGCGATGCCGGACGTCAAATAAATAAATGAACTAACGAATAACCTCGAACAAGTTTTCCGTAAATCATATTTGGATGGAAAGCTTGACGACCAAACAGATTAACACAATTATTTCAGGGAAAAGAAGAAAAGTATGTGTTGAATATTGGTTTACTAAACCAAACCTAATAAATTATCTACACTTCCGGTTAACTTCTCCGTCGTAGATTTTGCAAATCTTAAAGTGCCTTTAATTATTTTGACATTACTGTAGAAACCTTCGCACAAACACCGAAAATGAAGGAACGTGGCAATGACGCAAATATTCCGCCATCTATGTTAAATATTATAGTAAGTTGTATTCATTAGGTATAAATCCCTAACTAGTAATCTTTTATACGTACACCAAAAAGACAAATAAATATTCAGTGGAAACTAGTTTCGTTTAATTCAACATCTTCAGTTCACTGTATTTTTTGAAGTCTCGGCTAAAACAATTTCAGAAAAATGTTAAAATATTTGTTTTACAATAATTGACCAAAGTGTTGGTGGTCTCTGCGTATGTGCAGGAAAAAAATCCATTCTATTTAAATTTATTTCAATTGTTATTCAACATTTTCGAACGAATTCTCGTGATACACTAAGCACTCGAAAAGCCAAACACAAGAACAATAGATTAAATACAATGACGAGACTCGACGCTGTACACTACTACAGTGACTACCCGCAGTGCCTGTTCCTCAAAATAAACACCTCTCATAAATCCATAACTTATTGTAAAGTTCCTTCGATCATATCCATATAGAACAAATCATAAATCATAATTACTTACATGTTTTGGGATGTTATAACCCATTATCGGGACATCTCTGTCAAATATACGTGCATTTTCAATTGCAACGGGAACCAATCTAAAAATTGAAAGAGAAAAAAAAGAGGTTTTCTAAGCAGCATCCTTGAAAACACAAGCAAATATAATAGAGATTATTATATATTCTATTGCTTGCAGATGAGAATTGGAGCGGGAATGTGGCTCAAAAGCAAACCAAGCAAAGTGCAAGTTCTTCGAGGAGTACTTGGGCATCAGCATAAGGACTCCACATTCTCCAGCCAAGATGAAAGCAATCGCAAACATGCCTGCTCCCAAAGATGTCACTAAACTTTGTTCTTTCGTTGGCATGATACAATAGATAGATAGATGCACTTTATTTACTACGAGAAACCGTAATTCAACCGTATTTTTTTCTGTGACAGAAAAAACTGTACTCTCCCTTACGACCCAAACAAAAATATGAAATTAAATATAAAGATAAAAACAGTTACATTCATACGATCAGATTCATCCAGCGGTCCACACTACTGGCACCACTACAATATCTACTAAGAATAGAGGTCAAGTGGAGTTGGAACAAGAAGGAACAAGCTGCATTTCAAAAGGTAAAGTATGTGCTTCTGGAAGACAGAATTTTTACCCATTGTGATCTCCTGACTTGCCCCTTGTTATGGCAAGTGATCGTATGGTCTTGGGGCAGCACTATCTCAAAATGCCGGATGGATCGGAGAGACCAATTCTTTGCTTGCAATGCACGTCACTTCCGGTCATTATGTATGCATATTTCCAGCTGACGGTCAAGCATTCAGCTGGCGTACAAAGCAATGTATGTGTTTACAAGTTGTCATAAGAAACTTTGCGTAAAATATGCCCGATTCCTGTTCAGTTTATGGTTGTTCAAACCGATCTAATAAGAAAGAAGAAAAGGGTTTGTTAGAATACCTAAAAAAGTGTTTCACAAGGGAGATCGGACAAGAAATGTATCAAAAAGACGTCGCCACCGATGGCTGCTATCCTGACTAACAGTACTGTATCTTCGAAAGGAGTTGAATCTTCACACGCTCGTGTATGTAGCGATCACTTCGTAAAAGGTATTTAACAATTCTATATTTGTTTGAGTTTGAAATTCAGATGTCATTTCTTTGCTTTGCACGTGTTGGTTTGTTGTAAACAATGAAAATACGATGATGCTTGTAGAGTGTTTATAGGTTCGTCGCGTCGTATCGAAGTCTGTTTACTAAACAAATTCTATACATGTATATCTTATCTAGGTTGTCCAAGCAATATAAATGACGAAGACGACATAGATTGGGCCCCTAAATTGAAGCCTGGCAATCAGAAGATAAAACAAGCCACAGAGAGCTCTATAAAGCGCGGTGAGAGAAGCAAACAGAGATCTGAAACGTCTCCATTCCGAAGCTGCTAGTGCCTTGCTTGACTATAAATGCAGAAGCAAGCTCGGCTGATTGATGAAGAAATCTCTTATGAACAAACCATATATGATCCGCACCTATCACTCATCACTCCAAGGTAAAAACATGTAACTTATTTATCATCTACTTAGCTTTGTTATTGATGCCACGATTCCCTTTTTTTATTACAGACACACAGACAGAAACGACAGAAAACCCGAATCGTCAGGATGCAGAATATGCCAGACGGATCTYACCAGCGATCTTTTGTGTGCAATAGAAGAGGAGTTAAACATAACACGTCAAAAGCTCTCCGACTTGCAGGCAAAGACATTAAATGAAAATAAAAAACGATGTTTACACTACAAGATAGTTGGAAATGTCCGGGAACTGAAAGTCAGGAATGGYGGCGAAATCCTTCGAAAAGTCCTTTGGTTTCATAGAATATGGATCAATTCCATCACAGATAGATATTTTGTTTAAATATCTTGACTTGGGTATGCAGTCAAGATAACTAGCGTACTCTGAAAGAGCGTTTTTTGGGGCAGATTGATCGTTAACTTGACCCAAGCGAGCCGCCATCTTTGTTTACTTGACCGTCACTTGGAAACCGGAAGCAAAATTTCAGTCAAATTGTCACGTGATTGCAAGCAAAGAATTGCCTACGCGTCACGCTCCTTGACTAAGCGAGAGAGAAAGTTTGCACAGATTAAAGAAAGTGGCTTTGTCGAAAGTGTAGTAGTGAGTTAAAAAGTTTCAAACTTATTACAAAGGACAGGAAGACAGTCTCTGTTACAGCTGCTGCCAGGCTACAACGTTGGTGCCTCTTCCTGGGAGCCTTTTTGTATACTATTCAACGTCGAAACACCAAGCAGCACGCCAACTGCGAGGGGCTCTCTCACCTACCTCTATCAGTAAGTCCCAATGACAGGCCTGATGAAACAGAAGTACACTAGTAGTCAATGATAAAAACCTCCCATTTACGGAAAAGGAGTTCAGGAAACACACAGTATAGATATCCAGTTCTGGCCCGTGTTCTGGAATCAGTGCAGAAAGAATGAAAGAAGAAGCTATCACCCGAGGATAAAATAACCTTACTGCATCGATAGATTCTTAATTATGTTTGGATTCAGGGTCATCATACCAAAGAAATTGCAAAACCGCCTTCTCCAAACTATTAATGAAACACACATAGGAGTGGTAAAAATAAAGGGCCTTGCACGTGGACACGTTGGGTGGCCGAATATGGATAAAGACATTGAGAACACCGGAAGACAGTGCGAAGGCCGCCAAGAACTGGCAATGAGCCCAACATGAGCACCACTACGTCGCTGGTAGTTTCCTGCACAACTGTAGCAGAAGATCCACAAAGATTTCGCTGGACCCTTCAAGGGCAAGATGATCCTTGTCTGTGTAGATGTCCATACCAAATGGCCCGAGATTGTAGTGATGAAGAACACTACAGTTGGAGATACTGTGAGGACTCTGCGCTCCATATTCGCCAGATTGGGCCTCCCTGACCAAATAGTTTTAGACAACGGACCGAAGTTCACCTGCAGAATTCTGGGAGTTCACAGAGAAGAATGGTATGCGCCATGTTACAGGCGCACCCTTTCATCCTGCCACCAATGGCCTGGCTGAGAGGCCGGTCCAAAACATGCCTGCAGTGACAGCAGACAAGTCAAACAGGACACTTCAACATAACATTGACCGGTTCTTGATGGCATATGGAACAGCGCCACCGGCATCAGCCCAGCACAGTTGCTGTTTCAGAGAAACCCGAAGACCAGACTAGATTGTCTTATGCCAAGTGTAAAGAGTAATGAATGGTGGATGGAAGACTCCTACAAGATGAAAACAAGAGATTTACTTGTTTCCATGAATGCGATAAAGTATGGATTAGGAACTACTGAGATGGTCCCAAGTGGGTTCGTGGTGCTCTTTTGGAACAGACTGACCCAATGCTATACGAAGTCCAAGCTCAGGATAAAGTGTGGAGGAGATGTGTTTAACAGTTGCATTGTGATCAGTCCCAAGGGATCCTAGAGCAGGAATCATCTGGTAGTGAAGACGCGGTRGAACGAAAGTGATCATGATGTCGATGCAACCACTGACTCAGTTGACAACCACAGCCCAAATGCAATGGATGAACCCGCGACCGTGATGACGGTATACAAATGTGGCTACTCGAGTACATCCACAGGAACAAGTACCTGAGATATTGACGACCACCCGTTCGGGAGGAGTTGTTAGGACTCCATCAAGATTCAAAGACTTTGACTGCTCAGGATAATGAACACAAACCTTTAATTATAACATTGTTGTATGTTTAAACTAGTGTATGCTTGAACAGAAAACCACTGTTGTGTAGCTAAAGCGGAAGGTGTCGTAGAGTATTTGGGTTCCCTGCGTAACCAGGTGACCAATTTCGTTGTAGTAAACTCGTGGTTCGCCGTTTTGGTTGTTTGTGTTTTTGTTACTAGGGGAAAACGTAACACTGATCTCTACCAGTTAAACTGGGCCTAAAACTGATTATACCATAGTTCAGCTCCATTGGCCAAGCTTAACTGTAGATGAATATTAAATAGGCTGAGTATCAAAACGCATGAATACAGTACCTTAAAGTTTCCTTGACACATGCTTTCAGGTAATGCATTTTATTGATTGTGCTTGGTGTAGCTATTTCTCCTGGCTTCAGCACGGAGGTCACCTCCTTGTGCAGTCGTTCTTGTACTTCAGGGTTTTTTGCTAGGTTGTACATTGTCCACAAACTTGTGTTTGAAGTCTTGAAGAGAAAACAAATCGAAAAAATAAGGCTGGCGTGTGTAGCGGTAGTGCATTCACCTCTCACCTTTAGGCTATTGGGTTCGATTCCTGAACTCGGAATCACGTGTGATTAGAGGTTGTAAGGTTTGTGTGATGTTTAATAAACGAGCAGGAGTGGTTTATCAATAATGCAAGTAGGTATCAGCTCATCTAGGAAGGGGGGGGGGGGGGGAGGGGTGCCCTCCCCTTGCACCCGTTCCCTACATCCGCCCCTGAGGTGTAGCCGAGTGGTTTTAGGTCTTATAAAACACGATTGGCGAGAAATACGAACATCATAACATAATGTTCTGAAAATCAAATCCATACATATAGTAAAGAAAACCTGGTGAGTTTGATATATGTTTGAAATGATTTCACGAATAATTATATTTATTTCGAAATTATCTTAATTAATTTTACGGTTGACTATTATAAAATGTCAAATGTACTATATTTATGCAAAATGTCATGCTTTTCCCATATAATTGTTACTTACAGTGTCGACAGCTGCCATTAAAATCTCTACAAGATTGGCTGTTATTTCTTTGGAGGACAGTTTCTTACTAGCAACAATAAATGTCAAGAACTCTGCCCCTTTATCCTTATCGATGTCTTTAGCTTTTTCAGCTATTTCTATTATTTTTTCTTGTACCAAAGCATCTCCAAAGTCATACATGACATCCATGGCATCATAGAAAGCCCTGCAGCAAGAATAGTTATTCATTATAATATAGTTGATATCGTATTTAAGAATTTGAGACAAGAAAAGAAAAAATAAGTTTTTTATAAAAAGCCTACCCCTATGTTTCCATTCAATTTTATTTTTTTTACATTTGGTACATGTCGCTGAAAAATGATTCAAATCAAATATCTGGCTCCTTGTCTGGCTGAAGCATGTATGATTCTAGCCAGACCATGCCACATTTGCACATGCACTTTGTGCATTTATCAAGCCCAAGACAAGGATGTGTTATGAGAATGATGACACATAGGGGAATGTCAATTCTTCTCAAATGCTTTATAATTTCCAGTCAGTCAAACCTACCTCAGACGCTTAGTTTTGTACACCTTTGCCATCCATTCAGGATACAGGAACAACTCAAATAAGGTACTGAACACTGTCCGCGCAGCATTGATGAAACGTTGAGCTTCTTTTGATGGAGGCTTCTCAAAAGAACCAAATCTTTTTTCAAATAGAACTGTTCCAATAGCTGTGAACATAAATATGTTTGTAATTCAATAAATAGTGGGCACTTATACAGCTTTGATTTTAAAAAAGGTTAGTGGATGTTTTGTCGCATGTTGCATGCTATGATACTTGTAAACATTAACATGTCATTATAATCTGTAATCCAATAAATACTTGGCACTTCTACAGGAKTCACATGTTACATGTTGCATACAAAGGACGAAATGCAATGCAATATGGGCAAAGTGAATTCAATCATTGAAAAGTCACAACCTTTTGAAAGTTGACCAAACTTTGTCTTCATATTTCTAACATACTTTCTTGTGCCGACATATAATTTACATATGAATAAATTTCAAGCTTAGTAGGCAACAAGTTTATACACTATACACAACGTTTGGTGCAGAGCTATATATAACTGACTCAAAGACATGTTCAAATCCCATTCAAAACTCAGAATTGTTTCTGAGTTTTCAACTATTTTCAGCTGCATAAGGTGCTTGATATACTGCGAGGATTAGCTCAATTTGATACCGTACAACCGCAGTAGAAATATATAGTTTATATATATTCTCATATACTTAAAGACATGTACAAGCCAGAACAATACTGAAATTTAAAGTCCTTATCTGAACTGATGATTAGTTTTTATAATTAAACGACATTGAATAAGTAAATGCATAAAATCAGAAAAATATGTTAATAATTACTACCAAAAGAACATAACTAAGAGAGGGAAACTCAGTTCTTAATATTGCACACGCCATGTAAATATCCGGTTAGAGTATTTTTTAGAAACCGGATGCAGTTTAAATTTCGCCTTACCCTACTCCCGCGCGTCATCAACTTGGGCTCGCGCGCTCTTTGCGTTTCGTTTTTAGCGATCAATAAAACAATAAACGGAAAGATAGCACGCGCGCAAGTTGATGACGCACGGGAGTAGGGTAAGGTGAAATTTAAACTGCATCGGGCGGTTTCTAAAAATGGTCCAACCGGAAATTTACATGGCGTGCGGGTTACTAAGAAGTTTCCCTCTCTTATTTATGCTCTCTCGTTATTACAAATGACGTTTTTCTTACATTCCAAGGACCACTTGAAAAGCTCATTTTGTAGGTTTGGTACAGTCTTGTCTTGTGAAGACTCCCTCAGTTCCATCACCCTTCCAACAAAGTCTTGCATGACACCTGTTAACTCGGGTGCATACTCGCTCACCACCTTGGGCTTGAGCATTTTTTTACTTAAGGCTGAGCGAGCTTTGTACCATTTTTCTCCATGTCTGTGAATGAAAAATTAAGACAGGCATTTGAAACATTTAAAAGTATCAAAAGTTCCAAAAAAGATGAATGACAAAAAAAGGTTTCAGTTCGAGTTCTCATATTATTATCAGTATATCAGTGTGGACTGCAACTAATCTTACAACAATTTAAATTTATCATTCGTTATATATTTCTTGTCATCATTTTCATTTCCTCATGTGGGATATTACAATATGTAATCTGAGTAACGTAAATACGTCATTAGCTATGTTGGGTGTTAGGTTACGTTACTTGTTACACAAACGAGTTGAATAAAGACGGACTTGAATACAAGCTCGATATAGGTTGTCCTGTTTTTATATTTATAAATAATACCATATTGAAACACTGTGTATACCTTCTGTCCATTGGATTTTTGACAATAAGCCTGAAGCGAGATGACGTTTTACTCCCGTCTCTAGACCATAATCCTTTTGACACTGCTTTTGTTCTTTAATTATGACTATTGTTCCTGTATTCTCTAAGGAATCAAACATTTTAATATGAAAGAATTTAAAAAACTATTATGGTATATAGTCGGGGGTAAAACGTTATCTCGCTTCAGGCTTATTTTGAAGTTCAAAACTTGGAGTTCTAGGTTTTTTCTTTCGTCTTGTTCAAAGTGAAAAATTCATTTTTTGAAAACATGCACCACTTTTAATTTATATTTGAGCTTTCAATTAGAAATTGAGAAGCTTTAAATTTTTGGCTTAAATTTAAACTCTTTTTATTCATACTTTATCCTTTTCACAAAATCAAGTTTTACGGAACAAATAAAAAAGGTAATCAAACTGCAGCATGGGAAACCCGTGGATACCCTCCTCTGACTCCTACTTGCACTCTTGAGGGTAAGTACCAGGGGAACTTAACGACCGATGTTCACTGAAAACGTCATAGCGCACTAACTATTCATATCAGTGCTGAATAAACACAGATTTCAACCATGAGAATTATTTTTTGATTAGTCCAAACAGTTTTTTAAGAGTGCGAGCCTTATAACTTTCGACCGCTCTTTTTCAAGAAGTTCTCGGAACACGGGAATTGTTTTAGAAGTTTAATCTCAGAATTTTGATAAACGCGTTTGTTGCGAAAATATTTGTTTCCAAAGTTCATTGACGTTATTTTACCTCTTTTACGCATAAATCATGAAATGACTTTTTAAAAAAAACTGAGACTGTTTTTGAGATGTGATATTGGTCGTCATGTCTGCAAAGTTCAGCAGTGAACAAGACAGCCCCTCCACCTATAGATATGAAGGTATATGCTGGAGTGACGCTCATACATCTTCATATCTATAGGGGGAGGGGTGGTGTTTTCCACTGCGTATCCGCGTAATCAAACATTTAAAGGAATGGTGTGAAGTGGGGAGTATTCGCTGTACCAAATAATCAGAATTTCTATAAAAYATTCGCTTAGTTCACAGTATAAATAAATAGTTTCATGTGAAAACTTCAGGCAACAAATCGAATGTACGCGCCGTGACCCTGAAGGTCAAGATAAGTAGTAGTAACGTAAATTACTACTCTACGATTTTTTTATCGCCTTCGTAGCCTCTGTTATGATATCCAGAAGTACATTTCAAATCGACCACGTGATGCAAATGTTGTACCACGAGGACAAGTTTTTTACACCACGTGATTAAAACTTGACTGAATTTTGATCACGCGGTGTAAAAAACATGTCCTCGTGGTACAACATTGGCATCACGTGGTCGATTTGAAATGTACTTCTGGATAACATAACAGACGCTACGAAGGCGATTAAAAAAATCACAACTGCCTCGGTCTACTGGGAAGAGTAGTAACGTAAACGCGTAACGCAACGCTATTTGTTGATCGTCCCGATTGTAAACGGCCGATTATCTTGTATATTCAGTTTTGAGCTCGTAGGTGGAATGATTCCTGAAATAAAGCACTCAGCCCGACTTTTAAATTGAACACAGAGAAAGCGTTAGCAAATAGATCTTCTTCGGCAATTATACTCTATACTTGATTCAAGACCGGCGAGAAGTTAGCCTGGGGTTCAGCCCGGGATTCGCCAGCCGCGGATTTGATGAACGTAAACCAGTTTTAAATCCTTTTTTCCAATTAAACCTCTTCCCTAATTGTCCCAAAGTTGTTCAAAATACACCATTACATTCACCTGACTCAATAAATCAGCAGTACGATGATTCACTTCGGCTCCGCATAATAGCGCCGGCGACACTTSGAAAAATTCACACTTGCTGAAGAATTTTGAGGCAATTTCAAAGTTAAAAAAAATAAATTTTCCCCCTCTTTTTGAGACGTCTTTGTGGTGATCGCGCGAAAATCACAATTTCTAACCTTAATTACATTTACGCTTTTTATTCTAGAGGCACAAAACTTTTGCAGCGTAAGCCCTATTTACTATTTATGCATTTTGTGTTCCTTGAATCCGTTAAAGCCATCCAAAATTTGGGTTTTTTAGTGATTTTCACGCAAAAATCAAAATTTTCAAAACTTTATAACATTTCCGCTTAATTTTATTCAAGGGGCACAAAACTTTCACAACATATGCTCTATTTACTACGTAACTCATTGTAATGCATTTAGTGTCCTATGAATCTTGAAAAAGACTTCTCATATACATTTCATCTTAGTACAACAAATATATTTTCTTAACAATTAGAGTGACCACAGTAAATCCGTAAAACTTTAGTAATCCTAAATACACAATTTCATGCAAATTCCATTGTTTTCTATTGTTTAACTAGCTCTATTTTGTACTATTTAGTAATTAGTGTTTCACGGATTTACTGTGGTCACTCTAATCTGTGAAACACTAATTACTAAATAGTACAAAATAGTGCTAATTAAACAATAGAAAACAATGGGATTAGCATAATTTAGCAGTTTCAAGTTTCAAGGTTAGAGTGAATACTCCAATTTTCCTTTACCAGTTGCAACACACTTTAGGTTAAGTTGCTCCTATAGGCAGCAAGAACAGACGCTTTGGAGGGTGTACCACAATGCCAAGATCGTCTCGCGGCTCCAGTTTCAGGAATGACCAGTAAATCGCACCATTCAAAAGGCCTTTGCTATTTCTGTCCTTGCCCTTGTTGTGTCTACTTCCCTTGCACCGAACAACAGAGACGTCACCACCCTTGCGTATACCATGCAATACACAGCACAACTACAGCGATCTACCTGTGTTGGAAAATCCTTCTCAGTAGTTATTGAAATTTTTCTGTATGTATCGGAAATCACTGGTTTGCTGTAAAACACCATAATTTATGTATAAGGATAATAGTTTACAGAAATTTGCGTAAAAAAATTAAAATAAAAACTGCAAACGTTTTGTGCCTCTAGAATAAAAAGCGTAAATGTTATTGAGGTTAAAATTGTGATTTTCGCGCGAAAATCACCGCAATAACGTCACAAAAAGAGGAAAAGTAAAATATTTACGAGCTGAAAAGTCTTTGCAAGGGCTTCAGAATGTCAGGTTTACCGGTTTTTGAAGTTTAATGGCCAGACGATAAAAATTAGCGAAGTTATTAAACTTTGAATTTGCCTTGAAATTCTCCAGTAAGTGTGTGAATTCTACAAAGTGCCCCGGTCTGCGGTAGGGCCACGAAGGGATTTCTTCCAAATTTTGGATGGCTTTAACGGATTCAAGGAACACAAAATGCATTGCAATGGGTTAAATAGTAAATAGGGCTTACGCTGCAAAAGTTTCGTGCCTCTAGAATAAAAACCGTAAATGTTATTAAGGTTATTATTACATCCATTTTGAAATCACAAGCAAATCCTGCAATCTGATTGGTTCCCTGCAGCAGTGATTTCAGCATAAATTGCACGATTTTGAGCTCTAAATTGCACGATTTTGCACATCAACTGATATGAACCAATCACGAGAGAGACATGTCATTTTCTAGCCAATTATATCAAGGAATCCATCTGAGTGTTGAGCTCACCGCTTCCTGCGAAAAAAAGAGCCACGGCTCAAAAATAATTTTTCTGAAGAACGATTTTACCGTCAAAAGTCGTAAAAAAACTTAAAATTGTCAAAAGCATCTTTGTAAAGTAACTGCTTAAGTAAGTTGAAGATATTACAGCGAAAAGCAGTGGGGAAAACAATCGGCATCTTTTGAATGTGACTTCTTGGCTACGTGACTAAACAACCTTTAATTTTTGCTGTTTTCTCGGCACAAGTGTGATCTTAACATGTTGAACAGAAATCGTAAATATACAAGCAGTGAGCGTTGGCTGTATGGACAACAGCCCGTTCATTACAACCCTTTTGGGCAGGATTGTTTTGCTATTTAATGTAAGTAAACGATTCTTAATACATGTAATGCCTTTTGGTCCTATATAAATTCATTTTAGTTTTAGATTGAAAGTGTTGGTTTTCAAAATGAGAATCATTGCTCGATCAGTATAAACAAGTTCTCTTGACAGCATGTTTTCATGACATTGCATGAAAATTTCGATCAAACATGCTAGCTCCCGGAAACCAATTTCAAAATGCTAGATATACCCGGGAGTTTTTGATTTTTGAAAAAAAAATCGTCCAATTAAACACATCTTTGCCCATCTTTCCCGGGAGCTAGCATGTTTTTGGGATTTATTTGACGATTTTTTTTTCACAAATCAAAAACTCCCGGGTATCTAGTATTTTGAAATTGGTTCCCGGGTGCCGGTTCCCTGTTAGCAGAGCCTATTTTCCTTAGTGGTTGAGAGAGAAAAATAGACTCTGCCGATGTAGGACGTTATTTCTGTCGCGCATGCGTGACGTAACTTAGCAACGCTGTCATGATTTTGACAGCCGCTCTCGTCAAACAATGTTTGGCGCCACGGTGTCTTACATTTGCTCATGCGCACTACATGTAATCGGTTAAAAACCGGTTTTAAAACTGGTTTTGTTCGTCCACAATCGTGGACGGCGGTGTATCAAAGGAAACGCTCTACATCGGCAGAGTCTCCTTCCTCCCCGCCTGAAAGAAGGGAGAGAAAGAGAAGAG